TGCTAACATCCAGTCGTGGCTAGAGAATCTAGATTCAAAATCGAGAACGTAATGCAATATAGGTGATTTCTACCAATCATCAGAACTAGAACAAGCGATCCTAATGCAAAATTACTTGTTAATAACAAGTTTTAACGACTGATGCAAAAAGCAGTACTTCGTAACAATATCAATTACAGTTGTTCAAATATCAGTTGTAACAAAAAATGTCATTCATATTTAGCTGGCTATTCTCACTAGATCGTAGTTTTATCCGAGAATTGTAAGAACGCAAAACACGATTATATCTACAAACGGAACCATGAATAAAGAGATTTTGAAGTGATACAATAAGAAGCCATTAAGACCTTGTAGCTCACCAGCCTTACCATCTATGAAATACAGTCAGTTGACCCTTAGTATGAAAAAGGATTTATGACATGCTATTCATTCCATATAGTTGATATTAGGTGGTCCATCTGTAAATATAACATATCACATGTAACTTTTGAGATGTCCATCATGATAAGTCTTGTTAATTTGAACGCTTTATTCAGTTCCTAAGCTATTCTGGTAATCCGCAAGCTAAAACTACGCAGCGACCTGAACTTGAGAGAAAAGGAGAAAATAAGCGAAAAATACTTCACTCCAAAGGTTCATTTTTGTACAGAAAACACGGGTACTTATAGATGTTAACATTTGTTAAACCAACATATTTTGGCCAATCCGCTAAAAGACACGTTTTGCTACTGACCAATAGTAGCACGCCACGTTGATATTCTAGAAGCTCCATCATGCTCTGATTGGCTAGGACTCTCCGACTCCTTTAGGGACTCTGAAGATTCCGTTGCAGTTTCGGAAAGTCGACTCAACACATCATGCAACAGATTCAGGGTGTAAATATCAGAACTACGTGGTCAATAGCTAACGGAAGACATGAAAAAGTGAAGTTTATTTAAATTCCTTTGTTGAAACTTTATCCGACTTTGCTATTTGAAAAGAACTTTATCGAACGAACTGGTGCCTTTCTTCCTTTATTTGCTGATATGATTCCAAGCATTTAGGAAGTTCTAAAAATACTAAAGAGCTTTTCAACTCAACCGATAATACAGTTGAAGAGTATTTGAATAACATTATAGCAGAAGTAAAGCCATAAAAAGTGTAGAGGAAATTCTTGAAGCAAACTCTTGTTCACTTCCCTAAAATACAAAGTAAACTTTTGTAGAAATAAGTAGGAGATTCTGAATTTTATGTTGGCTGACAGTTATTTTTGAGTTTGATATGTTCTTTAATTGCATCACCAGGCTAGTGTTAACTTGCAAACTTGAAGGGAAATGGAAAAGAGGAAGACTAGGTGAAGCATTTCTCGGTAATTAAAAGCCTATATCTGAAGAATGGAAGGGATAACCCAGGACAGAGTTAGTTGGAGAATACTGGTGTACAGCCTATACTTCTCCACGAAGGGTAACAAGTAACATAATGAGAGTGAAGTTAATCATAAAAATGCAATATATAAAATGTTTCAACCCATTTAATGAGTGCTTTGTGTAAAACTATGATTTTTACCGGATATTTTTATTTCATTTATCAAAAGCTTTTCATATACGCTTTCTATAAAAAAGACAATAGAGAATCCCTAAATTACAGAACTGAAGAATATACTTAAAATGAAATCCTCAGTTTAAAATTATCCCTTAACATGTAGCCTTCATTCATTAAATTAATGGAAAGATATCTGAATTTGCATGATATCGCATGTATATATAATGAACATGGGGAAATTATATGATCTATAAACTGATTCCTAGGCAGGAACCTACTAACAATCATTTTCTCAATTCTGATTATCTCACTCATCCACTAGACTTTTACTAATACTTCAAACATATTATGTAGTACTATTTTACTCCGTTCACATAGCAGGAAAGATTTGTATTAAAGCACTGTAGTAAATGATTCACCAAATATAATGTGCCCCCAAATGCTCTAGTATATTCGACGGTGAATTGAGCTCTCTCTCCCTCTTGAAATGGTCTCACATATACAGCTACTGACTGGGAAGTCCTACTCAATGCCTTCTCTCCGCGGGGGTGTTCTTTACAAAATTGAGGGAACGAAAGACGAATATCCGGCGCTTAAACTGAGTTGATGGATACGGAGAAGCCATCTAGGCGAGTCAGAAACTCTCATTCCAAACCAATGGTGCATATGGGGCCCAGGATCCTGAGGGAACAAAGGCGTATGAACCAATTACTGGTCACCAGCTACCATTAGACTTTATATCCTTACGTTGGTTCACTGTCTTAAGGATTAGACCTCTAGATCGAAGGCTTCGGGTGTGGCCCCCTAAGAAAACCATATGATTCGGTCTGGGCGCCCTGACAGTATCACAGACACATAAAATGACAATAATTACTGGAAATACTGGTCTTGCTCCAATTAAAATTCAGACAACTTACATCCACTTGATAGGATTCATTTTTGTTTTTTTATATACTACGTAACTAATCTCTCGTTGGTGTCGCACTAAGCACTAGAGCTGAGGCAGCACTAACTGATTGGATCCCCATTAACAGTCGGTTATGTGCTGTTGGATTAGAAAGTTCCATCAAAATAAGAAATCGGTGTGAGAAACGATGGCTTTTCGTCATCTCCGCCTATGACCCGACAAGATTGCAGCCCAGATGCAATCAAGAATGAATTTTACCACCAGTCAACTGTTCTTCAGAAAGTGCGTTAGACAGATATTGTAGTGCTAGCCGGAAACTCGAATGCTCAGGTCGGGCGTCTAGGCATAAAAGAGAGTCGTTTAGGTGACCGATAGGGAGTTGTTGGTCGCAGGTTGGATAATTGGGACCGTCTACTGCAACTGTGCGCAAACAACCTGTTTCTCACTAGCAGTCATCGCCAATGTGTCATCTGGCGCCTTCCCTCTGCATCTCAGGTCTGGACTCAGATTGATCACATAGCGATTAGCTACCACTGGCGTGGTTGTGTACAGGACTGCCGCTCTTTTCAGATTACCTATCTGGACTCTAATCATGCCCTTGTTTGCGCTGATCTCATCTTACTTTTCAGTGGCCAAATAATTCATGGTCCTAAACGGGTCGATGTCAGTAAATTGGTTGCAGCTTCTATTGCAACTAAATATCAAACCGAGCTAGGTTCAGCGCTAGCTACCATTCCACCGAAAAGTATAGATGAGCGTTGGTTGCAACTTCATGACGCCATAAAAATGGCGAGTAAAGCCGCTTGCGGCTTCGCGAAACATCCCGCTTAAAAGCACTAGGTTTCTACAAGCTCCTTACAAATCATTGATACCAGTCGGTCTACTCCAAGTGACTATGAGTTTGACCACAAACGACGACTGTTACGTAATGAAATTGGGCAAGGCTTGCACAAGGACAGAGAAGCCTGGTGGTTAGAGAGTGCCAATAAGTTGGAAGCAGCAGCTGTATCTAGTAACTACCAAAAGCTCTTGCAACTCGCCCGAGTCACTGGCAGAAGTCTGATGTGGTTGTGAGTGATGAAATCAATTCACATATAGTGAAGGCCAGAGAGGCTGATGCCGATTTGGACCATCTTTGTGATGTTAGTGTGCCTGTAAAGGTCGGACCTAAAAAGTGTCGGTGAGATCACGTGTGCTCTATGCTTGTGAAAACGGGCCTCTCCGAGTTGAGCATGTTAGACGACTCTCTGTGTTTGATCTCTATTGCCTCCGGAGGATTGATGACATCCAGTGGCAACACCATGTTAGTAATTTGGAGGTTCAGTATTATGTGTTCAGACACGACGATAATAATTTACCATCTTGAAACATCAACTTCGATGACTTAGACATGTTCTATGAATGTTGTGTCAGAGAATTCAACATAGTGTATTATTTGCCGACTCTGGGACTGGTAAAAAAATAATCGGAAAGGTGATCAATTTATGACATAGGGTCGTGGTATATAAGAAAGTTGTACAGAACTAACTTCTATCGGTTCTTCACAACTTCCTGATTGGGGTCTTAGCGATGTTGCCCAACACAATAGCTAGAGACGTCATTGGAAATAGATCAGAATGAAAGAAAATGGTGATTCCACCGAAAATTTATTTCTCTTTCTTCATTAAAAGCGGATGAAACTTCTTTAACTGGAAGAATTCTTCCTGGTTATACCTTTGCTTATTGAACTTTTTCGCCAATTATTATTATTATTTCACTAACATACATTAATTTCTGTTCGTTGTTGTTCCCCCTTTTTTAAAAAATACTCATCTAACATTCTTTATCTCTTCACAGCCTCATTGTCATTGTGTGTGGGTGTATATCTATTTGGTACCCCTATGCATATTTAATTTCATAATCTAAATATAAATAAACAAACAATTAAAAACAAAGAAAGATAAACTGTACATTAAACAACAGTCAATGTATCCATGTCTCTCCCTCCCTCTCTCTCTCTCTCTCTCTCTCTATATATATATATATATATATATATATATATATATATATATAAACATCAATGGGAGGATTCAAGTAAAACAATACCAAGTGAATTTCAACTTCACCCTATTGCACAAGCAAGTGGCTATATAGACTCAGTAGCTAAATGGATAGCATGATGGCGTTTGAAGCGAACGGTACTGACTTCGAGTCATACAGTGAGTATCAACACTGAGATGTAGGTACAACCAGCTGATGAGTCCCAAATAGGACGAAATGCACGTCAAACTGGATTCCACTGTTAGCCACCATCCATCTTTGCTAATGATAATGCTTGTAAATTAAGGCAATATCGAGGCATACGCATAGTATGCACATATGCCAATAAGAGACTGATCAATTTCAGAGAGAGAGAGAGTATGTAGTATGTATATGTGTACACAAGTAAACAAACCATACATAACATAATGAATATAATAACAAAGTGTTATATCAATGTTTTATTACTAATTCTACATTGAGATTAATTTCAATGAAATTAGATTCATATCAATATACATATCTGTTTATCTTTATATTACATTAAACATGATCTGTAGTGATCATAAATAATATGATTATGTAAGGGTATAATTGTTTTCCTTTTCTTTCTTTCTCTCGTTCTTTTCTTTTTTTTATCACAACAACTGAATGAAACAAGCAACTGATGTATAACAACAGCAGAAGCAACAGCAGCAGCAACAACAACAACAAACAAACAGTATACAGTAAAGGACAATAAAAATATAATTCAAATGATAATATAACTATTCCATAATATGACAATTCATATACAGTTGTGTATCTAAGTATATATTTATAGAGGGAGGGGGGTACATTGCCGTGTGTACGTGTGTGTGTGTGCGCGTGTGACAATTCACATAAAAACAATGACATAATAATAATAATAATAATAATAATCTCAAAGTAAACAAAATGAATTTTACACAAATATAATTTCTGTACAATAATATTTCATATGTGTAGTATAAGAGATAATAATCATGAGAAGCTAATTCATACTCTAAGCATCATATCACTATTATCATTAGTAGTAGTAGTAGTAGTAGTAGTAGTAGTAGCATTAGTGTTAGTATTATTAGTAGTATGAGTAGTATTAGTAGTAGTAGTATGAGAAGTATTAGTATTCATCTCATCATTATTATTTGTATTATTTAAATGAAGTTCCGGAAATAATTCTAAAAGGAATTGATCTAATAGAATATAAGTTAATTGTTTATTCCATTTAGAATATTGAAAACAATCAAATATTCGATTTAATTGATCATGTATAATTTCTAAATTAGTGAAATATGAAAGACCAGTTATATCTAAAATAATAATGAAAGAATAGAAATATAGATAGAGAAGAATTAAACTCATCACATATAATAATAGGGGTTGTTTATTTGAACATTGAATATAATAGTACAACAGAAATCATTTGATGATTTGTGTGAGGGATGGAATGCTGCTCGGGTGCCCAACAGAGGATTCGCTTAAGGGGGGGTCAAACTCCGAGTTTTCCACCTAGAGGTTTGATCCACAAGGCAGTGGAGCAACGTTAAGAGATGCAGTCCCATGGTAACCATTGACCAATATCAGGCTCATACGCCATTTGTCTCCTTAGGATCCTGGAACCCATGTGCACAATAGGTTTGGAATCAGGGTTTCACAGCCCCTAGGCTGATCCACTACATCCATCAACCTGGTTTATGCGCCGGACATCTGCTTCATGTCCTCTCAACAGTGAGTACGACTTACCTAACAGCGGCTGTATATATGTGGCCATGTTAGAGTATTTCGAGAGGAAGAGCGGGCTGTCTGCCGAGACAGGGCGTTTGGGGGCAATAATAGCAGTTATAATGGAGGGGGTTGCGAGAATTGCTGAATTTTCTAATTTTACATTATAAACCGAATTTACTTACAGGAACAGTGACAACCAGGAACAACTAGACAGTTATACAGCTGTAGTATGGAGTTCATCAGTAGTGTGTACGTACTACTCAATGAGGGACTGAACCTAGTAGCTATTAAGCCTCACAAGGAGCGATTAATCATAGAGTATATTGAGCTAGGATCCAACGGTTTACATTTCTAACTTCACTTAACTCCTAAACCTAGGAAAATAAGCTATTAAATGGTCCCTGTTATTTAGTGATCCGCTAAATGAATTTACTTCTGGAATACTTACAAAAAGATTTTTAATGATTTCAATGATTTAAATTTATGATGATAAAAATTAGTCTATGACTAAACTAGTAGTGTTGTGCACGAGCTGGCCACCAGATGAAGAGACAGTTCAGATGAAAGAACGCACCAAAACAAGCAAATGGAAGACAGAAGGCTATGAATAATGTATTATATAGATACTTTGTAACTTCTCACAACGAATGAATTCCTTTTGCCTATCCTGGCGTTTTACAATAGGATTTTGAAAGGATATTTAGATGTTGAATGATGGTAAACCAGTTGATGAGATTGTGAATCTACATCGATTGAGATGGTTGGGCCACGTGTTACATATGCCTCAACACTGATTACCATGACGCGCAATTCTCACTAGTGTAGGGGATTTCTGAAAAAAGTTAGGAGCAGCCAAACCAAAACGTGGCATCAGTCCACAAAGTCACTAACTTCTAGTCTGAGCCATGTTGGCATATACAGACTACTTGGTTTGGGTCCGCATGACTATCGTAACCAATAGTTAGAGACTATGGGTGACATGGCTCAGAATCGATCGTGGGTGTATACACGCTCTGTCTTCCATTAAACTATAAGATTAAAATCGCTTCATATCTTTCTTTCTACGAGCTAATTCTTTCTTCCTGTAATATATCTTTATATGAAATCTTTTATAAATTACCACCACTGAATTAACTACTTCTAGGTTACGGGTACATTCGATAATTGTTTCAACAAATAGATTAGAAAGGCATCATATTACACTAAGTTGAGAAATGTCATAGAATTTTAATAGTTAGTCGGTTATTTAGTTTTAACCAACGGTAAAACATAGGAAGGATAAGTGATATAGCATGTTATATGAGTATAACGAGAATATCACAATAGGAAACGATCAAATCGAAACAACAATAATAGCGGTATGTATAACTAAGAGATAGATAAAATAGTGATTGTACTTAAACATACGAACGATTTCAATTGATGTGTATTGATAATCTATAGAGTTGAATAGCTTATGGGTTACGAATTAAAGAGAATACGACTTCTGGTAGACACATGTTCCCATACAACAAGAAACATCATTTATCTTAAGGTTGTAAATAATGACACCTTGATAATAAGTGTGAAAAAAGCATGAGAACTACATAGGGTCCATATATATCCTAGTCAAACATTTTCAACTATTTAGCATTAAATTAAAATATACAAATTTGTTATTCACTAATCTGTTTGATTCTGTTTTAGTAGCGTGCATGATATCAAGATGGAACATTAGGAGGGAGAGAGAGAGAGAGATAAGTAGTAACTTAAAACACAACACATCGCTAATCTTTAATGTCAGTTGATTCAGTCAGCCACATCTAATAACCCTAAACTGAATCTATACATCAATTTGAACATCAGAGAATGTTTGATCTAATACAATGTCTTAACTCCACTTGTAGCTCTACTAGAGTTATTGCTGGTCCCAAGCCCCGGTAAAGGAGGAGGGTTGGGCATGGGGTTAGCGACCCCATTCCGTAAAAAACTAACTCGCTAAGAAAAACACTAACCAGAACACAATGTCTTAATAAATCTTTACTTGTATCCATCTTCTGTGTTGTTATTTCGTGCAACACAGGAATTGTAATGGTTTCTCAATTAAAATGAAAGTAATAAACCACATGGTCATTACAATTTTCTTAACAAAATTACACAAAGAAAAAAACATGCAATACTCAATATAATATAAATACTTACTTAGAATCGCTTTTTCAATTGCAATACGCGCTTTTTCTTTACGTTTTGACTTATCCATATCAATTCTATGAAGATGTAAAGTATTCATAATGAATTAATTTTATACAACAAGTGGATTGATGATGATGGTGGTTAAGAAAAAATCACCAAAAAACTAAGAATCATTGGCTAGTTGTTTTGTTCGGTAGTGAGCTTTCGAAACCTAATTGGGGATCAAAGCCAGAATCTTCAGATCTTTCAATGAGCACTTGATCTATAGAGTCGGTATCTAATCATTTACATATTCGACTTTAATCAATTCGAGATATAATTCGTGGGTTACTGTGTTAAATTTGTCATTGGTGGACTCTAATGATCACGGTTTCTCACTAGAACTACGGGAACTAACTTTCGAAATTAGTAACAAGTGAGTAAATTATTATTATAGGCTTAGTAAAATTCTACAGGGTTAACTTCACAGACTGATCTTAGTTAACAATTTCAAAGAACCTTGTTCAGCTATAAATCTACTAAATACTCTTCATAGCTGTAGAAATTCTTTACAGGATACTTTTCGCTATGGTTGCAGTTGTGAAATGTATAATTTAGAGTAAATAAAACAATTTAATAAAGCTGTAATACGTGTTTCTATCAATTTATTTCAATCAATATGTACGTAAAATGTTTTTGTATCAGTGTGTGCGACCCTGTCAGGGGTCGAACCCAGGATCTTTAAACCAAATCTCAAATAAAAATTTCACGAGTTCTAATGAAAAGTCATGATCAGCGGAAACGATTGTCCAAATCATATTAATCGATGAAGATAAACAATCTTATCAACCGACTGACCATCTTTGTCCAATACTATGCGCCTAAATGTCAGTAGTATTAGTGTGAGCTACTTATATCCACATAAGTAGTATATAACGACAGTCAGGAATAAAATGTATCTCAGTAGAAGATCGAGAAGGAAAGAATGGGAACGGAAAGTAATTGTTATGAAAATGCAGAAACAATGAAATTCAAGACAATGGACTGATATTTGCAGAAGAAACAGTCAAGTTTAAGATAAGGGATTGATATTTGGTAAATTTCTGGAGAACAACGAAAGCCATCATGCAGAGGATACAAGTGTTTATTATTTCTTGGCAAGACACTATCAGTAACAACCAACTGTGGGAGAGAACAAACCAGATCCCAGCGGAGGAAGAAATCAGGGAGAGGTGCTAGAAGTGGATAGGACACACATCGAGGAAAGCACCGAACTGCATCACAAGACAAGCCCTCACAAGGAACCCTAAAGGTCAATGGAAAAGAGAAAGACCAAACAACACATTGCACCGACAAATGGGTAAAGACATGAGGAAAATGAACAAAATTGGACAGAACTGGAAAGAAAGGCCCAGGACAGAGTAGGTTGGAGAATACTGGTCGGCGACCAATGCTTCATTGGGAGTAACAGGTGTAAGTAAGCTAAGTAAGTTTGCAAATTAAGTATTTACTGTATGTTCACTTCGTATTGTTGTTTACTTGTATCTTATCGTTTTTATTTTAAAACTGAAATTGACCAGTCCCTTGTTAGCATATGTGCATACTGAGTGGATTGCCTCGATATTGCTTGAAGTCACAAGCTTTACGGTATTGGTTCTTAGATTTTAAAGAGATATTCTGTAATTTCATATTCAAACACATTCGATTATCCCAACTCGTGTTGTTATTCACTACAGTATTACTCATACTATAGTCTTGAAATATGTGTGCAATGTTGAAACAAACGACGAAACTGTTATATCCCGATGAGAATAATGAATGGTTACTTTTGGAATCCATTTCTGGACCAATACTATGAGTATATTTTTATCGTATAACTGTTAAGTAACTAAGCTGTTCATGTTCGTGTCCCTCCTATTATGAACTTTATTTTGACCTATGAACTATTATTATACCATTTACCATTCTTGACTTATGCCCTGTCTCTTAGTCATTGCCTCCCACATTCACAGACATTTTTGGCTAAATCTTATACAAATGCTGTTTCCTATTTTATGGTACGTTGTGATTTGTCTGGTTGGTATATAAACCCAATATGTTTGAAATACATGATTCATATCTTGGAGGCTGAGATTGGTGTTCTAAGCTTCACAGGCAGGACTAGACAGGAAGCAGGACCGATAAGGACTCTAAACTGCTCGTACAAGTTTTATGCATCATTGGTCCGATCGATAATTCACTGTTCTCTAATTGCCGGCATCATTACATTATACATTAGCAGGGCATTTAGACCACAAGTGATAACAGAAATTATTCAATAAAATGTATGAGATGAGGCAATCCCAGAAAAATCAAGTCAATAGGTTACATTTTATTCAAGTTATATTAACACAAATTAACGAAGATGTTATAAACATACTTACTTTTTAGAAGAATGAAAGAATATACTTGCTAAATAATAAAATAGAAAAGGTTAATGAATGAAAAAGAAAATGTAGTTAACATTTAGTCAAATGTAAAATTATCTCTTAATTAAATATACTTGAAGACTAGAATTCTTTGATATGAATAACTAACTTAATGTGTGATATATGTGTATATTCAGCTAGTTGAAAGTAGAGTGATAACTCAGTAATTAAACTAGTTGACTAGCAATTGTTAGGTAAACATGGTAATGATTAGTGGTAGATATCTAAGTCCTATAGGAAATCAGTCTAATGTCGAGTAGTTAAGTGGTAGCGCGCTTTATATTGTGAAAACGGAGAATCCTGACGAACACTATTTGATGTTTAAAAATTTTTTTTGACGAAAGCTTGCCATAAGCAACAACGTAAAACTTCGCATGTACGCACGTACATCAGTTCGAGTTCGCACGTAGGGGCAGTTGGTGGTTGGGCATACGTAACATACGTCCCAGTCCTCTCATTAATTGATTTGCCATCCATACCTGGTACCCGTTTTCTAACAACTGCATTAATTACTCGGTGGTCCCAGGATATATGAGTAATGCTTCAAATACTAGTAACCTATGAATATCCTCTACTCATACTGGCCATGTTTCACTGCCATATAGTAGGATGAAACAAACTGCTGAGCAGTAAACCCGTTCATTGGTTGATAGACGAATATGTCGTCTACGCCATAAATGACCCAAGTTGGCAAAATCTAGTTGAGCCTTCTGTATTCGTGCTGAGATGTCGTCACACACCAGAACACAAGGGCAGATAAGACTCCCAAGGTAAGTGAAGCAGTCGACACACTCAAGTAGTTCACTCCCTATCATTAATTCACGTGCCGATACAACCTAATCCTGAAGCAACATTTTGCATTTCGAGGGGAAGAATCGCATCCCGAACATGCTTGCATTGTTGTTTATGGTGGTAAGAAGACTCTGCATTTTATCATCGTGCTCACCAAATAGAACTATGTCATCAGCATACTCTAAGTCAACAAACGAATCTCCCGGTAAAAGTTCAACTCCTGGAACTTAGATGAAGAAAGTGTTATCTCTAAAAGCACGTCAACGACAAAGTTAAACAAGAATGGAGAAAGTGGACAGCCCTGACGAACACCACTTGAGGTAATCAATTCTGATGACAGTTCGCCATAAGCTATCACTCGACCAATTGTGTTCGTGTAGAGAGCCTTTACAAAGTTAATGTACTTTTTTGGTACTCCTTTCAGTGACAAACACTGCCATAGAACCTCACGATCAACAGAGTCATCACGATAGGTAAGGCCGACCACCACGTCAAGGTAGCAGCTACGGTCGGGGTCAGAGAAAATAGATAAATATAGCAAGATAAACTACCCAGGATAATTACGTCAAAACCACGAACCGATCTAAGCGAAAACAACTATTAAAAGCTTTGAAGCACTGAAATACTATTTCATCCCAGTATGGAACTCCTCAGCAGTTCACATCTACAACTCTGTATCTGGGAATCAAACTCACGGCCTTCGGTCTTACGTGTGAATTTTTAGCTTTTAAACTACTGAGCTGACAACCAATGGTGTACAAGTTTAACTTCAATCAATCAAAGATAAGATAAGCTGAATTCACGTACAAAATATTGAGAGCAATTTTGTTTATTTGGAATCTTTAATATAATATTGGATAAACCAACTTGGCTAGTTAATAGGCGACCTTTAATATTAAAGTGGTCTAACATCAGTTGATTCATGATCTCAATCAAAAACTTAATAGTCTCTACAGACCCATACTGATAATTACCATTTGCTCACTAGTGACTATCTTCATGAGAGAATTCTTCGAGTTCTAAAGAGAAGCTGTGACCAGTGGAGCTAATCCATGTCAAGTAAAGACATATATCTACCTCAATACAATGGAAGATAGTCGCGTAATTTCGTAGATTGGTTGAGGTTAGACATTAACACTGTTGGATATCGACTCAGTAGTCTAGAAGCTAAGTGTTTGCGCGCGAGTCTAAAGATCGTGAGTTCAACTCCCGCATGTGCGATCGTAGATGCTTACTGCTGATAAGTCCCATACTGAGACGAAGCGGTCGTTCAGTGCTTACAGGTTTACCATGATAGTCTAACATCAATCAATTCATGATAATAATTACATGGATTGATTAAAGTAAGACATGAACACTAATCAATACGAGCTGATCGGTCACACATAAGATTGATATAAATCTTGACCATAGTTACATAACAAAGAGAACGAAATAAAAACACCACCGCCAGCAACAACAACAACAAAAAGAAAAAAGAAAAAAAAACGGGACGTAATTCAACTTACTTTTAATATTATTTAATAGATGTGCAAAATTCTCATCAGAAAATATTTCATAAATAGATTGTATAAAATAATTCATTAACCAATAATTAATAGATGATTTAAAATAAATAAATAAAATTATAATTATTTTATAAATAAAATAATAGAAATAGAATTGACATTGTTTTATAATAAATAAATAGAATTCATAAATAGCATCATAAATATCTTTGAAATTAATAGATATTATTGGTATATAATGTGATTGAATAGGATCTAGTCTAGTTTCCGATGATGATGATGATGATGACGACGACGACTGATGACTTCTTGAAGGAATATGATTCGTATTAGTAGTAGTGGTAGTAGTAGTAGAAGATGGAGAAGGAGGAGGAGGAGGAGGAGGAGAAGTAGTCATTACATTTGATAAAGATGGACCATTTAAAAATGCTTCATTCCAATATGGATTAGTAATATCCCAAGGATCAATTGATGATTTTATATTATCTATATTGATTTCTTGTAATGAATTCATCCTTTGAATAGATGAAGATGATGTGGTGGTGGCGGCGGCGGCTGCTGTTGTTGTTGTTGTTGATGATGATGATGATGATGATATCATTTCAACATGAGATGATAATTGTGAATGATTTGAATGAAGAGAGAATTTCTTATCATTTGAAAAATATGATGTTGATAATAATGTGATAATTTTGTCCAAAAAATATAAAATGATTTCAGATAAACTTGTTAAATGAACTGTTGATAAGTTAGATGACTAGAAATAAAATAATAAAAAAAGAGATTTATTTTATAATGAAGTATAAAATATTGATCAGTATAGGGTTATGGAGACTGTTGAATTGAAAACGATACACCAAATGCAATGATACGGCCAAGGATGAGAAGAGTTAGCTCTCCCTCTCCAAATACTCTCATACGGCCGCCGAGCATATACTGCCACCACCAGAGGAATCCTACTCACCGCATTCTCATGGAGGGGTCAATTATTGAAGAAATTGAGAGGACGAAAAGTGAATGTTCAATGCTTTAACCGTATTGGTCGATATGGTGGATCCACCTAGATGAGTTGAAAAACCCTCATTGAAAACCAATGCTGCACATGGGCCGCAGTATCCTGAAGGAACAAATGGCATATGAACCAATCGTTGGTCACTGGTTACCATGAAACTGAGTCTCCCCATGTTGTTTTACTGTCTTGTGGATCAGACCTTAAGGTCGAAGGCTCCCGTGGTGGCCTCCTAAGAAAACTACGTGGTTCGGTCTCGGCACCTGGACAGTATCGTACCCTACACATGAATCAAGTGACTTGTGTGGTGCATATGTATTCGGTGCTCGTTTGTACCAATATTTATGTGTTCAAACAAATAAATAAATAAATAAAGATTATGAGCCGATCAATGTTAGACCACCATTGAAAATTTAGGAGCACTGAATGGCCGTTTCAACATAGTATGGGACTCCTTGGTATTCACGATCCCGCACGCAAGACTGTCGGTCTCGCGCTAGAACGCTTAACCTTGAGATTAGTGAGCCGGTATCCAAAGGTGTGAATGTCTAACTTCAACCAATCTTTCATTGTCTTCGGTTGAACTCCATTGGTCACGGACTCTCACTAGAACTCCGAGAATTGCCTCTCGAAGATAGTCACTGATAAGGGTTGTGGAGATTGTTCAGTTTCAATTGACGTCATGAAACCTATCAATGCTAGACCACCATTGAAAATCTCGAGGCACTGGATGGATGTTTCATCCAAGTATGAGACTCTTTAGCAGTGTGCATCCACGTTTTGAATGGTGGTCTAACATTGATCAGTTTCATGATATCAATTATAAAATATTTTTGAGGCACAAAAATAGAGTAGAGTTTGATAAACAAATTCGCTTTCGTAGACTGCATGTATTAGATCATCAGTGTCTTCAGGCCATTGATTGGATATAGTAATGCTGTGGTGTGTGCTACTTATATTGGCATAAGTAGTATATAATGCGAGTCAGAAATATAATATCTGGCAGCAGAAGATTGAGGAGACCAAGAAGGGAAGGACGGGAATACAAAGCAATTGGTATGGAAATGCAGAAACAATGAATTCTGAGACAATTACTGAACATTTTGCAAATTAAGTATTAGAGTATAGTTTTACTATTTTACCAAGTAACTCTGCAATTTTGTTCCAGATATAATTCGGTTGTCCTCACCTATGTTCTCCTTCACTACAATACTACTACTGAGTCAGTTATATCGTTAGAAGATATAAGATAAGTATCGGTATGAGTTTGTAAACTCTTATCGGTACATGTGGTTAACTATGGTCACGTATTACCGATCACAGTCACTACTCAGTTATCCCTTGAAGTACGGAAACAAATTAACAGAGATCATATAGTTTTAATAAGATTAGTTTTCTTACCACCTAAACCACAATTAAGTAATTTCACCTTTGAAAGTGAAGTTGTGACTTCAAACTAGTGACTACTCTGTACAAACACAGGTAGAGTATTGAATTATTAATGAAAGCTCCGCTACTAAACCATCTCAGCTCAGAGAACTCAACACCACCAAACGTACCCTATCTCCTTCATACACAAAGAACAAACTTCGCTTTCTAGATGAGGGTTCGTAGATGTGCACTGTTTAGGAATTGCATACTAGGATAAAATGATCGTTCAGTGTTTCCAGGTTTCCAATAGTAGTCTAACTAAGATCAATTCATGATCTGAACTACGAATACTTTTTCATTTTCAGAACAGGAAAATATGTGACTTACCTGATTTATTGTATCCTTTTGTTTTTCATATGTTAATCCCGCATTATTCCAATAGATACGTGAACGTAGACGATGATCTAAACTTGTACGACTTTGATGTTTATGTTGCGGTGAATTTAATACATAACGACTATAATAATCAATATGTTTCTCTACAGGATATGTATCCACTTTAAAATTATTATAATTTAATTTATGTATAAGATTTCTATCCTCTAGTACATTAGTTGATGAAGTTGTTGAAAAATGAAAAGTAGTATCATCAATAACGTTATTAGTATTACTTATATGATTATTAGTAGTATTTAATAATGGATTAAAAGAAGTAGAATAACTACCAGTTTCAGTTGTAGAATGAATGGATGAAGATTTTAATTTAATCATTTCCAAATTATTGAGATCACTTTCTATAGGTTGTGGATGACATGATGCAAAGTAAGACGATAGGAAATTGTCTAAGAATTGACCCTTCTATTAAAAAAAAATAATAGAAGTATAATGTAAATATATTGACAATTATATCCATATATGTACGACCTGATGTTAACTGCAGATCGATTCAAAGTGTCATTGTAAACAAGTCAAGTTTATTACAGTTAGAGTTACATTGTTTGTGTGAGGGCTAATAATGTAAATCAGTTGACTCAATCCAATGTGTGATTATAACCAAAGACTTAAAAGATAACAGTAAAACTAATAGATACGATTAAAAATTCATTCATGAAATAAATACGTTGAAATTAAGTCAGTCAGACAGCTACAATGTAGGACCAGGCACATATATGCATCAGTTCAATTTGCCATACCTCATTAGCACAACAAGATGAACACCAAATTCATAGTAGTACATTCAATGGTGGTAATATATGAAAGAAAGATTTTATATAAGAATATAGTACAGAAAGAAATAGTTGGCTTTCTCGTCACTCAGTTCAATTCTAATGGGTCTTCTTAATGTGGTTTTTCTGCGTCCAGTGAGGCGCAAGCAAATGCATGCTCGTATTAGAGCACGATCGGAATCCAAACAGCGACGGCCTTCTATCGAGCCTCTTCAACGATGACTGATGGCAATATGGTCTGTTTGAGTCTATCGTTGATTTGGCGCAAGGGATCGCCAATTTAGATGATGTCTTTCCTTATGCTTAAAATTAGTGTTTGCTAAAAAGAGCACAGTTGCAGCAGATGATCACAATGATCTGTTCGCTGATCGGAGATACTAAAATACCCACCTAAATGACTTTCTGTTTGGTTTAAGCTACCTACTTGGGTATTAAAGTCACCTGCTACGAGTACTATGTCTGAGTTTGAAATTAAGATTTTAGGGGGTCGATTTTCTCAAGTCTGTCAAGTTTAACCTGATATAACAATATTTAGAAATGCATTTTTGTTGAAGAAACTGGTTGTTCACTATGATGGATATGTCGTGAACGAGAATACAAGTGAAGACAATGGAATGTATTTGAATACAAAATTACAGAACATCTTAGTAAAATCTGAGAACAATACAGTAAATACTTTATTTGTAAAATGTCAATCAATTGTCTTAACTCAACTGTTCCTTCTGTAAATATTAGTCAATTATCTCATACTACATTGTTCCTGTATTTCCATACCAACTGCTTCCTGTCCCCGTTCTTTCTTACTCGTGTGTATTGAACATTTGGAAGCAAATGAACTACAAGTTTGCTAACACCTATCCCATCTCTTTCATCGTTGACATTATGGTTTATGAAGAGAGATTTCATGTTATCACCACCACCCGGAACTATTTGATTCAAATACTCTTGATCAACACAGTGATATGTCTAAACTCCACAAGTTTGCCAATCAATCTATGTATATTTTAATATTTGAGATCATGAGTCAATTGAAGCTAGATCACCATGGAAAACCTGGGAGCACTGACAATAACTACACACCCGATTAGAGTTCATTCCGAATTCAACCCACTGAGGTGCAATGGTGAGCCTCCACCAAGTGTCATAGCATTTCTGACCAGCCTGAACACGGCTCCAGGTAAGTTTACAATATTATTACCAATACTGGGATTATCATTTTGTAGTTGGTTTTACATATCGCATAAAAACATTTCGTTATATTCTCATTCAATCTACAATGTTGATAATTTATGCTGATGTTTACATATGCATAACATATACAACAGAATATAAAAGTAAATGATAAATAGAAGAAATATAAGAATGTATAATTAGATTTTATGAATAAATAAACCCATTAAACAATGAACGATTCCGTTTTGTATTGATTATTTGATGAAACTATAATTTATGGACGATCTTTGAGAGACGCTAGACTGACCTTGAGAGTGTCTTACTTAATAACCAGGACCAAATGAAGGTTATAAGCCTATGTGAGGAATTAAAATTATGATTGCTAGTTGATAATTAAGGTTAGGAATTAGATTTAGTGTTTTCATCACAAACTGACATAAGCTATAATGTCAAAACTTTATTTAGACAAATGAATGGATAGTTTATTTATTTGTTTATTTAACCACGTTAACATTGGTACAAGGAGGCACCAAATACATATGCGCCACATAAATCGTTCGATTTGTGTGAGGGCTGGGATAGTGACCGAGTGCCCAGACCGAAGCAGGTGGTTATCCTAGGGGACCACACCCCGAGCATTTGACCTAAAGGCCTAACCCACAAGGCAGTGGAGCAACGTCAGGAGATGCAGTCCCATGGTAGCCGGTCACCAACGATTGGTTCATACGCCATTTTGTACCCGCAGGATACTAGAGCCCATGTGTGCCATTGGTTTGGAATCCGGTTAAAGCGCCAGACATTCGCTTTTCGTCCTCTCAATTTCGTAAACAACACCCCCGCCACGAGAAGGCAGTGAGTGGGACTCCCTTGGCAGAGGCTGTATACGTGTGGCTGTGTGAGAGCATTTCGAGAGGGAGGGCGGGCCTACCCCATTCTCGGCCATACCAGGGCATTTTGGGGCAATGGATGGATAGATTTCGCACCAAATCCCGGGAACTGTTATCTTATACACTTGATTGGTTCGTTTATAAATTATAGTCTCGCGGATTGTTTAAATCTTCTTATTGATGTTTAGGGCTTTCATTTAATCAGACTTTTATTAACAAATATATCCATTCTGTAGGGATTGACTAATGTTACAAGAAATAGAATACAACACACACGCATTTTGTCCTATTTGAAACTGAATAGTTACAGTCTTGAACATAAAATGGGAAGATTAAAACAATGAATATGAAAATGAATTAAAATCCAACTCATTTAATAAGCTATTGGTTAATGGAACTTAGTAGTTAAGTTCTTGCTTTAGTTAAACTTATCGAAAACGTTTAGTTCTTTTAATTTATTTATCCTATTCCCTTTTGAATTAAATGTTCCAGGTTAAAACTTGTGATACTACCTAACTAGTCAAACCGAAATAAGTGAAGGCAAAACTTACTCATTAGAAATAGAAACACAACTGATGCATGCCACTAGTCATGCCGGTCCAGAACATATTTGTGTTCAGTTTTACCTTGTTGTTACCTAGTACGTACAGATTAGTGTAACTAGATGTGAAACACACTCTGTAGGGGAACGAGTAATACTACCCATACATCCAAATAGAAGGAAGGAAAAGTGACTCGAACTCGTGATATAGTGGCTGGTAATCAAATTCCTTAATTACAGACCTACTGATATACAACTTCATGTATGATTGCCGGGATGTATCTAAATAGCTAGAAAAGAATTAAATCATCATAGGGAAATCTTGAGTAAAACATATAACATTATTCACCAACTTTGCTTCACGGGCGAGACTATAATTTATGGACGAACCAATCAGATTTACGATAACAGGCCTTGAATTTTGGCGCGAAATTCACTCATCCATATGGTTAAATATAGTTTTGGCATTATAGCTGATGTCAGTTCGTGGTGGAAATTCTATATCTCATTCCTAACCCTAACCATCAACTGTAAATATTAATCTTAATTCCTCATGCTGGTTGATAACCCTTATTTAGCCGTAGAATGTAGGTGGACATTCTCAAGGTCTATTTAGCGTCACTCAGAGGTCGTTCATAAATTATAGTCTCACCGCTTTACGTTACAACGACAACTTTAGGTAGGCATTACTTAACTACTCATATTCTGATCAGTAGTATTAATCAACGAAGACATCTTTGACATTACCAAACATAAATTATACACACATTTTACAACTGGAAACATTAAAAAATTAGAAAAGCTTAACATTAGAGAAATGAAACTCCAAATGAATATAATATATAAATGATAAACTAACAACAAAACATAATATTTTTGTAAGCAATGATGGATAGTGGCTAGCGGTGGAATCCAGTTTGCGCCAATAACAGACTGATCAATTGTAGTCTTAAACCTCAATGGGAAGATACAAACCAAACAAGTGAAAACACAATATCATTAACATTACTACATACTACTGATTATATGAATCTTATAGTAATATATTCATCATATGTTATTATTGCTATGGCAGCTAAAATCAATAATCAGCAGACGTAAAGAAAGGCGAAAAAAAGGGAGAGAGAGAGAGAGAGGGAACAACTAAACAAACAAACAGTCATACATAGACATCGATATCCAAATATAAACAAGTAAGTAGTATTAGCAATAAGAGCTAAAATTTAGTTAAATATTTCTACACATACAATAAAACGAATAAGTATTAAAAAAAATAAGATTAAAAGGGGATAAAATAAAGGTAGGGGGTGTATAAAGATAGAGAGGAAATGAAAAACAAGTGTTGTTATGTTATTTAGCATATAAAAATTTTAATTATTGATTTATTATTAAAGAGTATAATTCCAATATCAAAAGAATTAATTAGACAGATGATTTCCATAGTGAATTGTTTAATTCAAAAGGAAAACACAATAGCACCTAGCAACTACTTCATTCTAATTCAAGAGGGAGGGGTGATGAAAAGACTGAAAATTTTGTAGTTTTACTAATAATCAATTCAAAGATTTGAAAACACTATATTGATGATACATTTGGCTTTTGCCAACTTACGTCTCCTATGGCGAAGTCGATATACCGGTCTATCAATTAGCGGATGACTATACTGTGCTGCAGTTTGTTCTATTTTACTTTACGGTTGCAAAACGTGGCCTTTAAGAACAAATGATATTCAAAAGCTACAAGTATTTGACCACAGATGCCTTAGAAATATTGCTCGCATCTGCTGGGATCATCAAGTAAGTAATAGTGAAGCTAGACGCAGGGTATTACGGAATGATGATGGGAAATCAGCTGAAATTGTGAATCTTCATCGATTGAGATGGTTATGCCACCTGTTACGTATGCCTCAACACCCATTACCACGACACGCAATGCTGACTAGTGTTGGGGATGGTTCGAACGAAGTTAGGGGCAGCTAAACTAAAACGTGGCATCACTCCACAAAGACAATAACTTCTAGTGTGAGCCATATTGATAGATGGAAACTACTTGATTGGAGTCCGCGTGACTATCTTAACCAATAGCTGGAGACTCTGGATGACATGGCTCCAAATCGATCACAATGGTGTGGGTGTATACACTCTCTATCTTCTATTCAATTATACGATTAAAATCACTTCATATCTTTCTTTCTACACACTAATTCTTTCTTCCTGTACTATATCCATACATAAAATCTTTCTTTTATATATTACACCATTGAGTTGACTGCTTCTATCAATCCGGTGTTCATCTTGTTGTGCTAATGAGGTATGGCAAGTTGCGCCGCTGCACATATGTGCCTGATCCTACGTTGTACCTGACTGACTGATATTTGTAAACCTGGGGAGAGATGAACTCGAAGAAATATATTGAACAATATCTAATGTACAAAAGGGGAAGAATCAGAAAATAAAATGACATAAAATATTCATTCAATCAATCAGTTAGTTGTTCATAAATACAGATGGATGAGCAACCATAAGCACAAGCATTGTATAAAATGTGTGACATTTATCTTATCTTCTTTTTTACAGTGTTCAATAAGAGTGTATCATATATCTAGTAGGTGTGAATAGAGAAACAAAGAAGCCATGATATACAACAGAAGCTATTTTTAAGGGACGTTATTTCACTTAACATAAGCTTACGTCTGATATATGATTCACTGCCATATTTTTCCTTTGTACTAGAGCTATTGTAAATTAAATGTAACCTTTTGTACTCGATTTTTTTTTAACCTGATGCTTAGTCTGTATGCAATTGTACTTTTCTAATTGTTTGTGAGTTGTGGTCATGTTGGTCATCTACTTATACACGAATCTGGAGTAAATCTAGTAGTGTTCCAGTTGACTCGTCTTTTCTCTCTCTCTCTCTGACCTGTCAGTCAGTCAGCTACAACTTAGTATCAGGCATATATATGCAGTGGTCCAAGTTGGTATACCTCATTAGCACAGCAAGATGAACGCTGGATTCATAGTAGTTAATTAAATTGTGATCATATATAAAGTAAAGATTGCATATAAGGATATAGTACGGTAGCTTGGCAACCAATTAGGTGATAGAATAGTTTTTATCTCTCTACCTAAGTCAACTAGTTTCAATTCGGACTCACGCAGCCTAGCCTCAAGGTTAAGCCAGTTAACCTCTCGTGTCAGGAGAGATAAGATAAATTATTTTCTGTATACTAGTAGTAGACAGATCAAGAACATAACACTAGTACTTTAAAGAATTCTTAGTCATTTAATTGGTCAACACTGTAAATAAGTGCATGATATTCACCGAGGAATTTGCTTTGGTTTTCTAGAATTTATGTATTTATGTCTGTAGTGGATTCAAATTTGTTGGATGAAAAAAAAGCAAATAAACTGAAAGTTGGTGCATACCTAACTGAATTGGTTGGACCATCAAAGGCAAAAAGAAATACAAAAACATGCTAGAAGTTATGCATAACTTTTTAAGAAAATTCCCTGAAAATTTAAAAAAACATACTGCGGTGTATGCTACTTATGTTAACAGATATAAGTAGTATATAACATCAGTCGGAAGTAGAACGCCTAGCAGCAGATAGAATAGAAGAGAACGGAAACAGAGAGAGTAATTGTAATAGCAATAAAGGGACGATGAAAATTGAGACAATTGATGGAGGAATTACAAATGAAGTATTTAATGTATGTTTGGGTGGGGAGAGACAGAGATGGAAAAACCTCATTCCAAACCAATGGTGCACATGGACTTCAGGATCCTAAGGAAATAAATAGCATATGAACCTTTTATTGGTCATCGGCTCCTATGGGACTGCATCTCCTGACATTGCTCCGTTGCCTTGTGGATTAGACCTTTAGATCGAAGGCTCCGAGTGTAGTCCACTAAAAAAACTACGTGGTTCGATCTGCGCATCCGGGCAGTATCATAACCCACACACACAAACCAAGTGACTTGTGTGGCACATATGTATTCGGTGCCCTTTTGTACCAATATTTATGTGTTCAAATAAACAAATAACGAAAGAATTCTGTAATTTTGTGTTAAACAATGAATTGATTGTCTCCACCTGAGTGTTCATTCACAACAATATGACATTTTACTCTTAGCGAATTGTATGTTTTTGGAAGATCTTTTGAAAATCCAGTCAATAAAAGTAAAATAATAACGACAAACTTCATGTAATCAATCTGAAATGAAGTAACGCTTGTAATATTTCGTTCAACATTCAAAAAAGGAATGACGGATAGTATGTCTGTTATTGAAAACCCAAATAAAGGCGTGTCTATAATTAACATTCAATTGGAAATGAATTCAATTAACTCGTTATTGATATTTTAATTAAATACTAATCAGTCTTGTTTGATATATGTGAATTCTATCCCGATTGTCTCGATATAATCGATTAGTTAACGACATCTCTAAGATAGAAATTTATCCAGTTGACAAGTCTCGTATAAAACGAAACGCGTGTCCTGAATTCCACTGTTAGCTACATACCATCTATGCTATAATAAATTGTGTAGTTAAAAATAACTTTTGTGCAACTATACAGTGAATTAGACATAGTTAATAGATTAAATTACTAGAATTATGTGCGAATTTCATTTGAGTGTGTATGATTTGATTCAGAGCAAAATTAACACACGTAACTCTAACATTCCTAAAAGCAACCCCTAATATTAATAATCTTAACCCTTTAGAACTGATTGATCGTTGAGCAGTAATCGATGTCAATTAAAGAACTCTTAGTGTTTATAGAAAGAGCCAGAAAACATCAGATCTCTTAGAATCGCAGGCACACTTTCCTAAAGAGTGTGAAGTAAGATTTATTGTCGACTATAACCAAATACAATCCTCACCACAATTACTGACTCTAACTCCGAGACTAGCTATCCTAAACCTTGACCATTCGTCGCTTAGTCATCTTGCTGGAACTATTTACTCATCAAGATTTCATTACTTATGATTAACAGTTTTCTTTTGTAATGAGAAACCATTTTCTAGTTGAGGGATAAACCGGTCAGAATGGTCACTAAAATATGGTTTTATTATTGATTGGTCAACTATCCATATTATTATGAGTATTAGTTTCTTTTACACAAGAATCTAGAGCTTCAACGTCATGGTTAACCTACATATTTCCTGACTCATGAGAATAAACTACAGTTGGAAGTAAACATTATAGTCATAGATACCCCTCTATGGATTGGATTTTTACGGCCCAAATGTCAATGACTATGGCAATCTAGAAATCGAATGTGAATTATTATCATACCCGGTTTTGTATGCACATTATTAGATTTCAAAACCGATTTTGGTTAGTGAACTTCGGACTAGCAGTATAGAAAAATCCTTAAAACAAAATTATTTGAGGCATGTTGAGTCATTTTAAAAAGTATTATTTGACCTTAAATGGACACTGACAATGTCTAGAATCATTATCGAAGTTTCTCAGTCAGTCAGTAACAACGAAGAACTTCGTACGTATGTACGTACGTACGTACATCAGTTCGAGTTGCCATACCACATTAGCACACAGACACAATTGTCAATTCAAATCCCATAGTGGTAGAGGTAGTAAAAGTATAAGCAGTATACGGAAAGATTAGGGTTTGAAGATGTTATTCAAAGAGTATAATTCAGTGAAATAAATTCAGAAAGAGAAAAAACAAAGGGATATGGGAGAATTCAGAAGATTAGAATTTGGGTGAACACAAAGATTGGATGCACCTGCATTATTTCATTGTAAACGATCTTGAGCCGTGTCATCGTCAGTCAGCCACAACGTAGGACCAGGCACATATATGCATCGGTCCAGGTTGCCATACCGCATCAGCACAACAAGATGAACACCGGATTCACAGCAGTGGTTAGGTCAAAGGTGGTAATATATAAGAGAAAGATTGCATATAGAGATATAGTACAAGAATAAAGAATTGGTTCGTAGAAAAAAAGATATGAAGCGATTTTAATCTCTTAGTTTAAGGGAAGACAGGGAGTGTATACACCGACTCCATTGTGATCGATTTTGAGCCATGTCACCAAGAGTCTACAACCATTGGTTACGATAGTCACGCGGACCCCAACCAAGTAGTCTGCATCTACCAACATGGCTCAGACTAGAAGTTAGTGACTTCAAGCACTGATGCCACGTTTTGGTTTGGCCGCCCCTAATTCTCTTCCAACCATCTCTAACACCCGTGTCATTCAAGGTCTCTAACCATCGGTTGCTATAGTCTGGCGGATCCCAACCAGATAGTAGGTATAGACCTACCAACATGGTTCAGTTCACCTGTCAGTGGAACTTAATCGAAGCTTCTGGAATGGAACCATCTATTTTATAAAACTCAAAATCACTTGTTGACATATACATGTATAATAAAACGAAATAACACTCTGTTCAACTTACCTCTTTGGTTAATTTTAACGGAACCGATTTCACTAAACGTCCTAAATTCAATTCAAATATATTTGTATTGAATGGTTCATTTGATGTTAAAAAGCTGTATAATAATTTGCTATTCCGAAGGAATGGTTGAGCAATCAAATACTAAAAATGCGATATAGATAAAAGAAAAAAAAACAATTAGATATTGTACTATGAGAAAAGTTTAATTAATTAATGCGGGGTTCGAACCCATATACAAGCAATTTTAAAATAAGAATCAACTGCGGGATTAGATAATTTTAGGTGAATGACATTAATAAATTATTGAATAACTAATGTACAACAATACAATGAGCAGAAAGGTTGAATGTTTTGTGTGAGAGATTAAAAGGTGTTTACACAATACTTATACATTGTCTTCGGTCTGCCATCGTGCAGGTGACTTTAATGCTCAGATAGGTAGCTTAAACCAAACAGAAAGGCATTTAGGTGGATATTTCAGTGTTCCGACACAGCGAACAGATAATGGTGATCGTCTGCTGCAGCTATGCTCAGACAATCGTTTATTTTTAGCAAACACAAATTTTAAGCATAAGGAGAGACATCGTCTAACATGGCGACCCCCTACACCAAACCAACGATGGACTCAAATAGACCATATTGCCATCAGTCATCGTTGGAGAGGGTCGGTAGAAGATTGTCGCAGTCCTGTGACAACCATAGAGGGATTAGTTTAACAAACATAGTATCTAAAATACTGGCCTCGATAATTATCAGACGCTTAACTAAGACTCGTGAACTACAAACTCGAGAGAACCAAGCTGGCTTTAGACCTGGTCGTGGCTGCATCGACCACATATTCACCATTCGTCAGGTTCTAGAACACAGGCATACCTATCGGCGTCCGACGATGGTGGTCTTTCTTGACTTAAAAGCAGCATTTGATTCTGTAGACCGCGAGACTCTGTGGCAGTGTCTGTCATTGAAAGGCGTACCTCAGAAGTACATAAACCTTGTGAAGGCTCTTTACTCGAACACTACTAGTCGAGTCAGAGCTTATGGCGAACTGTCATCTACTTTTGCAACTTCAAGTGGTGTCCGTCAAGGCTGTCCGCTTTCTCCATTTTTGTTTAACTTCATCATAGACCTATTGATGGAAATAACACTCTCGTCGACTGAATTCTCGGGTATTGATCTCCTTCCAGGAGGTCCACTTATCGACTTAGAATACGCAGATGACATAGTCCTGTTTGGTGAAGACGCTGACAAAATCCAGAGTCTTCTGGCAGCACTAAGCAACAATGCCAGAATGTTTGGGATGCGCTCTCTCCCTCTAAATGCAAGTTGTTGCTTCAGGA